ACCAGAAAAATTCTACATGTACAGAGTTGTACAGTGTGTTCCAGTAATCGTGGTGTTTATATAATTTGCAAATAGTGAGGAAATGAATCGAAAGCGAAGCGTACAAATGTTCTGATTAGAATTACAACGCTTCGATAAAATTATCGAGAACGTTTACTCAGTCCGCGAGTTGCTTCTTCAACAAAATAGTTGCGTTCGATTCAGCGTCTCCTTATTTAATTTCAATTTTTTTGAAAAAAGTGAAACTTTTGACGACGCTGCTATCCAGTCCAGAGCTTGACTGGAAACTTTCAAACCCGATTCTCGTAGCGTAGACAAACAGATTCTGTTCTACATTTTCAATTGATTCTTGCTACATCACCGTGTGCTATTGCTAAGACACCGTGTATGTATCTACATGTACGTGGAGGCACAGACACGTTTATGAATTTATCTTCGGCGATGAAACGACAAACGGTTTTAATTGCCGCCGCGGGCTACGCCAGGGATCGCCGCAAGTCCCGCGGGATCCTCCGTTTCTTCTCTGCCTCGTTATCTCGTACCGGAGAGACCGGCGCCGATAAGCGTTTAAGCATTAACCCTTGTACAGCCATTGCTTGACCACTTTTTGCTGTACTGAAGTATCTCACGCGGAAGTATTTTCCACTTGTGTAGCGACTTTACTACACACTGTATATATACAGGCCGACGTTTACAGATTTTGTAAATTTGTTGCCGCACGTTTATTGTTATTCGTGTTGCATCGTCATCGATCTTGATATCAATCGATATCAATGAACGACAAAGGGCAGCGAAATCAGAGCCTTCGTGTGATTTCGTATAGTCAGAGATTTGTCAGGATAGGGCCGGGAACGAAACGGGAATGCAACAGAGATAGAGGCTCTGACTAGAAGTCTCGAGGGCACTCGAAGGCGAAAATGGCAAAGAAGTCGCAAACGGCAATCACGGGCTAAGTGCTAACCCAATCAAGCAACCTTCTCCCTGCTCCTCCACTGTCTTCCAGTGTTCGAGACTCCGTTGCTCAAAGAAGGGGGAGAGAATTCGCTACCCTCGAATTATCCTTTCCGTTACAGTTCCTCCGGTGAAACGAAGTTTAATAACTTCAATGCGCGGCAATTTAAATTTGCAGTCCATTGTACTGTTATTTATCGCAGTGTTTCAACGTCTTCTCTTATAATTTAAATATAATTATATATATATATATATATATATATATATATATATA